ACGCAACAGTAAAGAAACTTACACTCGTATCTGTCGAATCGCCCCATATTTCCCAAATATGTCGTACATCTCTTCCGCTGTGATTTTGTATGGGAGATTTTTCACGTACAAGACTCTATTCACCTCTGGTGGAAGCCGAACCTGCACACAACAAACCCGTTTATATAATTTTTATATGACAACATACAGTGCAGACTGCTTAGGGCAGTGGCTATCAACCTTCCTAATGCTGCAACCCTTTAATAAAGTTGTGCCACCTCCAAGCAATTATTTTCTTCATAACTTCAATTATTATGTGCTTTCCGATGGTCATGGGTGACCCTTGTGAAAGGGTCGCGACTGGCATATTGAGAACTGCTGGCTTAAGGCGACCTCAGATGTGGTGAAATTTTATTGTGAAGAGCAATCCATTTATCCCCGGCAATGTTTCTTGGTTTAACTCTTATCTGGATAAAAGGGATTTCTGATAAAGAAGAACTATTTATTGGGTCCCCAGTGAGTTCTTATCAGATCTGCATAACTGGTAGAATAATTTGATTTATACTTTTTGTTTTGACAATTTACATTTAACACTGTTACCCATTATAAATATAGCACAAACATCAAAGAAAGACCATCAATATTATTATGCAGATCTGCCACTAGTCACTATTTTAAGACTGCAGGATGTATGGAAAGGTCAGCAGCTTAGTTTAGTTGAATCACATGGGAGGAGTCAGGAGGTCATGAATAGTTAGCATCCTTTAGCCAGGATATGCAGATGGGCTGGGAAATGAACAAAAAGTGATACTGCAGTAACAGATAGAGAATTAATGTACGACAAGCTAGAGGTGGTCAAGGCCCTGAGGGAACAGGTAAACTGCGGAAGTACAAACAGATCATCATCGTTACAGTCTGATAATAAGAGTGCAGCAGTGAGTAGCCAGGAGATATTTATTTCTACTATTTCAGTTGGTGATGAAAAGACCAGTTTTAAGATTGCTGTATAGTTTCCTGGGCCTATGTAGTTGGAGAGGGAGGGGGAGGGAGAGACCAAACCCCCCCCCCCCCCCCCAACAAGCATCATAAAAGATAGCTATTAGAAGTTTTCCTTTAAAACTCGGAACTCTGGGTGCATCTGCCTGACACGCAAGGAAACAATGGTGTGCACAGAAATAAGTCAGGTCTTTAAAATGGGTCTGCATGCAAAATCTAAGTTCTGGAACAAGACCTAAGCCAAGAAATGGATAAACAACCATAAATATTTTGTGATGTAATGAGGTTTTGTGTGGTGTTGTGTCAATCCAATCATATAACGAATTGGCTCCAATGCTTCCGTCAACCCCAAAATAGAAGACCATGATTAATTTAAATAATACATATTATTCATCAGCTACGGTGTAAATTCATGTACGCAGACTTGAAAATGACGTTGTAATGTAGGCATTATAAGGTACTTTAGTCAAATTTATTTAGTTAGTTGAATAGCTGGATAGGTATAAAAAAAATGCAATCCAACGGTACCTCATTCAAGTCTCTACATTGTAGCAAACCATATATCACTGTATTCATGGCAATACACAGTATCACACTGGCCTTGTTCTCATTTTCATATGAAGTTCTAGTGTAGTTGGTATCACATTTGCTTCACAATCAAAAGGTCATGAGTTCACCCCTTTCACGACAATTTTTTAAACTGACAATTTTAAATTTTAGCTCTTATCAGTTTTGGCAATGAATCACCCAAGTGTTGATTAATTTTTAAAAAAAAAGTTAATTATGATTTAAGCGGCAGCCGCAGTAGATTTTGCGATCAAACATATTGGGGGGGGGGGGGGGAATTGCAAACTGAATTGTAACTCTTAGTCACGCCCGGGGTGAAGAGCTAGGATTCTCCAAGAACTGTTCTTCCATACTTCCTATAGGGTGGGGGAAGAGACCAACACTTCCCTCGACTGCAACAAGCATGTTATAAAAAGTGGGTTAAACCTCAAAGGGGCAGTAGATTTGTCTGCCAAGTTTGTGGGGCAGTGGAACAGGCCAGTGAGTGGCAAGAGTCTCAGCACTCAGGGGCAGTGACTAAACACATGGAAACGACGATGATGAAGTAGATAAGGAAGAATAAAATGTGTCTTGCAATATCTTCTGTAAAGTGGCCGAAACATTCCAAGAATTGACGCGTGGAGGTGTAAATGAGAAACCGTTATTTTCATGTTCTAGTAGAATCCATATATGCTACCATTTATTCTAGTTCTATTATTTATTCCAAAAATTATTTAAACGATTTGCCAAATTATTTGGTGGACTTCAGGAAAAATAAAAAAAATAAAAAACAAGCGAGTGACTGATTTTCTGTTTTAAAAAAAACAAACCTCTATACACTTAAGCCAGCTTGTTTATTTGACAATATACTTGTAATTCATGGCAAATTAAGCATTCGGCATACAAAATATAACGTGAAAGCAAGTAAAAGTTTAATCAAATACGAAGAACTTACGTTAGCTCTCTTGTTCATCGCCATCTTGATTCTATGTGCACAGAGCCAGGCCAGGTACCCGCCAGGTACCCGCACTCAAAACAATTCAATCGGTTTGTTGCCAAATAGATCTATGATTTCAGGGCAACGCTGGAGAGAAAACTACTTTTTTGTTGTTAGTTCTACTGTCTAAAGACTATTGAGTGACTTTCAACATGCACATACCGTAACGACAGCACTAGCTTAAAAGACACACCGCAAAAGTGGTAAATGCAGGCAGGTAACATGTTAGCCCAGGCACTATTTTCTTCTAAGAAGCATGTGTGTTCAGAGGACCATGTACAATAACGCAAAGGAAGATTTTCCCAGTTATATATAGATGTTCTCCTTCTTGTTTTTGTTGATGAAAACCTAGTCATCTCTTTATGAGATTCAATTTTTCGTTATTTTGAAGCCCCGCCCTGGCTCTTGCCAGGGACCGCAATACAGCCCGGCCATAAATATGGCCTAATGGCTGAACGCGGTTTCCCGGACATCTCCACGGGTGATCCTCACCCACATGGTGGCACTTTATGTCATCGGGTGTTTATCGCTTGTGTGATGTCCTAGTGGGGTAAAAGTTCTCCTGCTACTACTACTACTACTTCTACTACTACTGCTGCTACTACTACTACTACTACTACTACTACTACTACTACTACTACTACTACTACTACTACTACTTTTTCCATTACTACTACTACTACTACTACTACTACTACTACTACTACTACTACTACTACTACTACGACTACTACTACTATTACTACTACTACGTTTCTATCTCATCGTCTTATAACATTTGTTGAGTCGCCAGTTTATGTTGACTGTGTGGTCAGATCGCTCCACCCTTGGCGGTCAGATGCGATGGGTTTTCACGGTTGCAATCCTGAGGTCTGTCAGTCAATTATCTAACAAAGTCTTTCTTGGTCCAACTCTTCTCCTCTGTCCCTCTACTTGGCCCTCTAGTATTATTTGTTTTAAGGCCGTTGATTCGTTTTACAAGTACTTACCATTTCATTTTCCGTTAGCCGTTTCGTCGCGTTCTGAAGCTCGTTGGTTGGCTCCACAGCTGCGCCCTTCAGTTCACGAGCGCGTTGTTTTACAGAGGTCCCAAGGAATCATCGCTGAAGCTACGGAGTTCGTGTTCTGCGCGGCGCTATCGGCAAGCGGCTATCCGTTCTGCGGAGAGAGACCGAGCCATATGGGATAGACTCGATGCAATAAAGTCAATCATCTCGACGTTAACCTGGACTTTTTTGCTTTTGTTAGAAGAGTTTGTGTGTATGTGTGTGTGTTTTGTTTACACATTTCATTTTGTTTGAAAAATACTATTCTATTTATGTTGCTATTCGGAACATAATACAAATAATAAATCTTTGTATTATTTTATTATGTACTTCAAAAAGACCCATTAAGGTAAGCCTAAAAAAGTTAAAAGGGGGATAATGTGACACCACCTTCCTTCCTGTTTTCTTTGAGTGGGCGCCCATTATGCTGTACGGCATTGAATTTTAGATTTCAGAGTTATAAGTGGGTTATCGGAACATTACTCCGGCCAGATTCATAGGTGATCAGATTCCTCTATCAACATATATATCAGCGCCCCACTGTTGCCAGTGCTATGCTGGTGACACGACTTCTTGTACATCTGTTGACTTTCACGGTCTGTCCATCGTGCTGAGACTCTCGCTCCCAAGCCTGAAATGCACCACAACAGTCCCATTCTCACACTTGCCTACCACCCTCACAACATCCGTGCTGAAAATATTCTCCATTCTTAGATCTGACTCTACCACCAGCACGATTTTCTCTGAACATCCTCTTACGACCGTAACCTCAGGGACATTCTAGTTAAGAGTTAGTTATGTCCTGCCTCAGAGTTCAACTTCAGGACTGTCCTTTGCCACAGAACAGTATGCAGTATCTGTCCATATGTGATTCAGGGACTAGCCTGGAATTCCTGAATGCTAATTTCTACATACGTGAAGCATTGTATTACACAAGCAGTTGCGTCTACACCATCAACTGCAAGAGATGTGGTATTAAATACATCGGTGAAACGGGTTTACGACTGGCTGACAGGTTCAGACAACATCTTTTGGATGTGCAGAACGGTGTCCTACAACCAGTACTATTGCGTTTTATTTCCTAGGAACACAAAGGTGTTCGCGATACGGAGGTGACAGCCATTAAATCCAGCCACTCCAGCGACATAGTTCCCAAGTCTCTTGAAAATCGCTTTATATACACTTCGAGAACTCTGGCGTCCAGTGGACCAAACTGCCAACACAGCTTCATCTGGAATCCTAGGAAAGAACTGCCTGCACAGTTTCATGTTTTTCTCGAGTTCCGGCTCTTGGCTTTTCCCTGGATATTTATTTTCCCCTTTCCACGTGTCCCAGTGAGTCTATTGACTAGACAGCGACCTGGCTGCTTCAGGATACGATGATAAGGGATATTGGGTATTTGTGAAGTAATTGGTGTATGTGCTGATGAAGGCTCCATAGCCGCAACGTTCACTATTTGTTAGTTTTTGTTACCGGGGGGGGAGGGGGGGGGGGGTTGTCAGATAGCTGTAAGCACTCCTTAATTACCGGTACACTGTCCTGCCAGACTTCGTCTTATCTTAAAATAACAACAAATATCAAGCCAGCCTAGAAACAACAGTGGTTGATGAGAGAAAGGCTGTCTGGGGTGATCTGAGAAAACAAAATGTGGGAATTTTTTCCGACATATAAACCAGAACCTGAGGGCTTGCCCCCCCCCCCCCCGCCCCACCAGACCAGACATCATTTTCTTTTTTTCTCTCCACTCAATTTTGTTTAAGGGAAAATCTTGGTAATAAAATACAATTAAAATACTTGACGAGATAAATTTTATAATGGTTTACATGTGTGAGTTCTGGGGCCCAGTGTTTGAGAAAAATAATAGACACACTACATCGCTAACAAGCATGTCGTAAGAATCGACTAATTTGGGGTTTCTTTCCGAGTCGGAGTGCATCGGTCTCAGAGGCAAGGAACCAGCAGTCTGAATCCGAACAAGCCAGCTTTATAAAATGGATCCAACTCAAGTTCGGTAACATGACTACACTCATAAAAGGACGCACAAAAAGAAATTTTCAACGGAGCTTACAGCCTGTGCTCCGCCCAGAGGCCATTACCTTGTAGTGGTGGGGGAGCTTGAGAGCCTCAATGATTTTATGAGCTTTGCCGGCGGGAACGTATGTTCATGATAGGGTCACCCAAGCCGGACAGGTCATTGGTGAGGGGCCAGACTAAAGATGGCCTCCCGGTCCTCCAGGCTCGCGGGTTGGGCGCAGTGTTGACAGCTCTGCCCTGTAAAAAAAAACTACAACGTTACTGAAACTTCAAGAGGAAATAAGTGCTCTAAACTTCCGGCGGTCTTGGGACAGAGTCCCTCTGTCAGCATGAACAGCATGGGTGAAAGCCGAAAGGAAGCCCATGATGGGAAAACAAGTCTGCTGGATGTCAAAGCCAAATTAAGAACTGGCTTCTGGAATGTAAGAACCATGTTTGAAACTGCCAAAACCACCGACGTAATTAAAGAAATGCAGAACTATAAACTGCATATTCTTGGAATTATTGAAAGCAGGTGGACAGGGTTTGGACAATCCACAACAGGTACAGGAAAAACCATAATATACTGGAAGAGATGATAACCTACATTCTGCAGGCGTGGCACTCATTTTAAAGAAAGGTATGCACAAACATCTCATCGAGTGGCATCCAAATAATGAAAGAATTATGACAGCACTATTCAATGGGAAACATGCCAAACTTACAATCATCCAATGCTACGCACCGACTAATGAAGCTGAAGACGAAGATAAAGAAACATTCTATAGGAGACTGCAAGAGATAGTAGATAAAGTACCTGCCGATGATATTCTATGCATTATGGGAGATCTCAATGCAAAAGTTGGTAACAACAACTTGAATAGAGAACTATCAATGGGAAATCAAGGATGTGGTACAATTAATGACAACGGGGAAAGACTGAGCGACTTCTGCACGGCGAACAGACTTGTTATAGGAGGAACACTGTTAGCTCACAAGAATATACCTAAGCTTACATGGATATCCCCAAATAGAAGAGATGTAAACCAGATCGACCATTTCATGGTAAACAGAAAATGGCGTGGGTCCCTACTCGATGTGCGTGTCAAAAGGTGAGTAGACGAAGGAAGCGATCATCACTTTGTAGTTGCTCTACTACGACATAAACTCAAAAAAGTTCACACGCAAGTTAAAACACAGTCAGCACGCTACAATGTTAACCTTTTAAGAGAAAAAGACATTGCCACTAAATTTATAATAGAACTCAAGAATAGATTTCAAACCCTATCAAGTGACCCAGACACTCAAAATGCAATAAGCCTTCAGGACAGATGGAACCAGATCAAAGAAACATACACATCAACTAGTAACAACATATTAGGAACCAGGAAACAACATCACAAAGAACGGATAAGCAGTCAAACCACGGACTATATTGCCAAGCGAAAAAGAATAAAGAGCCTCATAAATCACACTAAATCAGAGCGTCAGAAAGAAAAACTAATGTTAGAATATAGCGAACTAAATAAAATGACAAAGAAAAGTACCAGAGCTGACAAAAGAAGATTTATGGAACATCTAGCAGAAACAGCAGAAAATGCTGCTAAAGCACATGATCTACAAACCCTACACAAAATTACCCAGAAAATTTGCGGAAGCAGAAACAATTATCACAGGATATACATCAGAGATAACCAAGGCAGACTACTCACCACAGAACAAAAAAAAAAAAAAAGACATGCAGTGGACTAAACACTTCTCCGACCTCTTGAACAGACCTGATCCTGAAAATCCCACAGATATTCAACCAGCCTCTCAGGACATTGACATTATTAATGAACCACCAAGCAAACAAGAAAAGCTATCAACACTTTGAAGAACAACAAAGCACCAGGCAAAGACGAACTGCCAGCAGAACCTCTC